TGGGGGGGGGGAATTTTGTTTTTGCTTTTTTTGTTGTTGTTTTAGATGGCCTTTTTTCATAGTTCCATGTGTTATCTGTTACCTCGTTGTTATGTCGATGTTATTGCTCCAGTGATGTGTAGGGCTCGAGAAATTATTTTAATGGATTGAATAAAGACTTGCCGACAATAAATATGGGATATTTCTCTACTCAAGCATCTAAAGTGAAAAGAATTAGTTTTCTCTCACCACGTTGACACCGATGTCTGTGGTGTAGCGGTTAAACACTTTACCATCGCATGTAGAAGATACAAGTTCGATTCACAAGTAGGTGGAATTCCTAAAGACTATCTCCATCTTTCTGCTGGGACGTTGTATCCTTCTCAGCCCGGTGGGTGGTTGGCGGGTGCTCTGGTGTGGTTTGCTCCTTCTTTCCTATAAAAAATATATCGTCTCTATCTCCCCTCCCCCTTTTTGTGTTTGTTACTCTCTTGTAACACCTCTAATCTTTGGCACTTGAATGACCTTATTGTGTTGCAAGTGATGTAAAACTCTTACTAAAACCTAAAAAAGACTAAACTTCTCAGCCCGGATTACCCCTCGTGTGTCAATTCTTTGTCTGGAGGAGTAAACTATCTTCATCTACAGCTACAATTAATTGCAATGTTGGTGGTTGGTGGTTGCTCCGGTGTAGTTTGCTTCTTTTTTCCTGCCAAACATCCATTGGTGGGTGGTTAGAGGGTGCTCTGGTGTGGTTTGCTCCTCGTTTCCTATCAAACATTTATCATCCTTATCTCCCCCCTTCTCTTTTGTGTTTATTACTCTTTTGTAACACCTCTAATCTTCGGCACATATATAACCTCTTTGAGTTGCAAGTGCCGTAAAACTCTTAGCCTGGTCCCTCCTCCTTTTTTGTGTTTGTTATTCTCTTGAACACCTTCTATCTCTCTCATTTATATGACCTTACTGTGTTGTAAGTGCAGCAAAACTTTTACGAAAACCAAAAACAATTGCAATAATCTCATCACGACAAAAGATTCAAATACACTTAGCTAAATGTAGTAACAACACAATGGTTTCTGTAACTCGACCCGAGTAGGAATGTAAGACCGCAATAGACGTTCCTCATACATCCAGTGTTTTCGAAACTGACACATAGCTAAAGATGTTGTTTTTATCTGTATCATCGTGTGCTTGTGTGTGTTCGTGTGTTTATATAATATGATTGTCGTGTTTACGTATTATGTGTATGTGTAATATTTTGTTGGTGGTTG